AGAATGAATTGGCGACCGCCTGCATACCACGGGCGAGATGACCTTGAGACACTCATGGCTTCTGATTCTGCTGCTGATTGGGTATTTATTCTAAACACTGAGTATATAACTTGCACTCCCTTGTTGCTCTTTAGGGTGTTTGGTTGGAGGGGACGGGATTGGATGGGATTGGAGGATGATGCTAGCCGACTCCCCCTTTGGCTTAAAATGTTTTTTTTTTCAACGTGGAGCTAAAATTTTTCCTCCGGTTCCCTCCCATCAACATCTGGACCTGTCGAGAGGAAAGAGCTGAGGGAAAATTTTGGGTCCCACATTGAAAAGGGGATTTGAATCAAACCTGGAGAGGGAAAATCAGTTTTCCTCCCCTCCAACCAAGCACAGTCTTGAAGACCTGAAGCCTTCAATTTTAATATGTTATCATGTACTCCCTTCGTCCCGCAAAAAAGTTCCCATTTTGAATAGTATTTAGTCAAATATTTACACGCTTTGACTACATATTGTGAGAAAGGTATATTGAATTATAAAATAAATTTAATATAATTGGATTCATTTTAGGATTTAGTTTTGATATCTCAAATTTTTTTTAGCATTTTTTTATTTAGATTATATTTAATTTATGGTCAAAGCGTGTAACTTGTTGACCAAAAATACATCAAAATGGGAACTTTTTTGCGGGACGGAGGGAGTAGTACTTATTATTATATTCCCTATATGCAGATAAGGATATCTGAAATGCTACTTGGAAAGGTTCCTGAAGGTTTTTCCTTTGCACCGAAACACAAATCTAATGCTTACGATCGAGCGGAAAATGGCTAATAATGTACTTATCTCTTACTATCTGCACTTTTTTCAAGCTTTGGGGAAAACTTGTATGCATGTGCTGCTTTGAGAGCATGTCTTTGCTTGTACTTTAATTATAATTAATGTATTAGTATTCAAAGTTTATCCGTGACCTGTAATTTTTGGAAACCAATTTTTTCTTTTAATTTTATTTTAGTGTTTAAAAAAAAGTTTTGAACATTGTACGGAGGAAATAAAATTGCATCGTTTCTATAAGTTTATGGCATTTTAATTGCATCCGAAAGGCTTGTTGATTGAAATAGATTAGGGTTTTTATGTTCCTAAATCAACATTATTGAGACTATAAACTGAGTGTTGGACTGTAGCAAAATATTACATTGTACGGTTCTCCCCGTACACTCGAAGTCAAATTCGGAGGAAGGTGATGGATCGCTGGCACACGAGTCGCGATGATTTGACCCATGACGGCAGTTGCAATGGCAGTTGGCCTCCTCTGCACTGGCGATGCTTGCTGCATTATTTAAGATGGAGACGAAATTGCAATGAAGGAGACGAAGGTGCTTTACAAGCTGCGGCCTCTTTGAAACCCTATCTGATCTATACACCATTACAGTGTAGTGGGTTTAGGATGAAGTAGTTTATAATCATTCTTTTTTGTGCTAGTACCCAATTTGCTATGTCTTGGTATTCATTTGTATTCTAAGTAGTATTTCGTATTACAATTATTTTGGTAATCAAATATGTTCATTCTTTTGTGTGTAGTGTTTATTTTGCTATGTCATTATACTCATTTGTATGTTTACAATACAAGTAATGCTCGTAGTTTGATTCCAAATTGCATGGAAAAAGATGCACACTCGTTTTGACAATGAAGTATGTTCGTTCTTATATGTGATAGTACTCACTCTCTTATATAAAAAATGGTATGGAGTATATATTTAAAAACAAACATATTTAAAAATTACATTAAAAGGTTTGCAAAATTAGTAGTGTTATTATTATATTATTTTATCAAATGACTAATGAAAATAGAGAAAGAAGATGAATGTGTGGAGCATTCAAAGTGTGTTGGGTAGCCACATAAAGCGATCAACGCATGGAAGAGGTTAACAGGGAGGACAAATGAGTCGAAAGTTATTGTTTGGGGAGCTCAAACGCGGCACACTAGGAATAAAAACATCATTTGCACACCACATGATAGGTGCGGTCATACTAATACTAATGGACCGAATCCCATCTCCGTAATTAAGCGTGCTTGAGTGAGAGTAGTACTATCCCAATTTAAATTACTTGTTTTGATTTACGATGTTTGACTGAAATTATTTTCAAATAATTTTATATAAAAAATGATTTAGAATTAAAAAAATAAAAATTACATATTTAAAAATTAATCAAAAGATCTACAAAGTAGTGACATGATTATATTATTTTATCAAATGACTAATAAAAATAGAAAAAGAAGATGAATGAATTTTTAATCTGTGAATAATTTATATATAATTTAATTTGGAACGAAGGACGTAATATTTATTTGTTGTCTAAACATATTTGCTAGATGTACCAACTCTTGGACTATGGAGAGTTGCAGTTCACACCCAGTTTCTAGGTGTAAGAAGGCCAGGAAAGAAGTAGCTTTGAACTAGAGTTTGACTACGGGGTTATCATTATTACTCTCTCCGTCCTTAAAAAATTTGCCACAATTTGATTATTTTAGTCAAACTGTAATACCCTTTGACCACAAATTATATATGGAGTATATTTTAAAACAATTAAATATTATTAAAATTTGATATTTTAAAACTATATTTCAAAATAAACTTAATTTTACTAAATTTACATTATAACTAAATACTCCATATACAAAAGTCAAAAGGTGCCATAGTTTGACCAAAAAAATCAAACTATTGCAATCTTTTATGGACGGATGAAGTATTTGTTTCGGTGTAATGAAAAATAATACTCCCTTCGTCCCACAAAACATTACCTATTTTGATGTATTTTTGGCCAAATAGTTACACGCTTTGACCATAAATTAAATATAATCTAAATAAAAAATGTTATAAAAATTTGATATATCAAAATTAGATCCTAAAATGAATCCAATTATATTAAATTTATATTGTAATTCAATATATTTTTTCCCAATTTGCAATCAAAATGTGTAACTATTTGACCAATTACTATTCAAAATGAGTAATGTTTTGTGGGACGAAGAGAGTACGAAATACTTCTTAATACTCTGATTAGTGGTGTGCATCGGCCCGAATTCATACTTGATCAGGACGTGATGGATGTTGAACGAAGCCTACTTCGTGGACTAGGAGTGGACGCAATCTGTGATAATACTCAAACATATTACAGAGTGTGTTTATTAAAATGGTACAATATCAAAATGAGATAAACTCCAGAGCCATTCAGTATAACTTTACCTTGAAATGAAATACACATTCCGTCCCTAAATAAACTTCCTTTTTGACTTTTTGGGAAATTAAGGGAGAGATATTTTGGTGTTGACTTTCCAAAAATATCCTTGATGTGATGTATAAAAGTAAGATGTGATATATAGATTATTAGTAAAACGCCAAAAGGTATGATGTGATAGGTATGAGATGAAAAATTAAGGGGTAAAAAAAGTTTTTTAAGGGAAAAGAGAAGTTTATTTGGGGACAAAGAAAAAACGAAAAGGGAAGTTTATTTAGGGACAGAGGGAGTAGTATAATACCATATCATGTTAAAACCTTCCCAAAAGGTCAAACATTTAAATTTCAAATATTTATAACAAAAATACAACTTCTTTTTAAAAGAAAATGTGCACACATTCAAAAGATAATAAATTGAATTAAACAATAATGAGTCTCTACATTTAAAAATGATGACTTTTGTAATTCTTACGATTTTACAACTTCCCATAATAATAATAATACTAATACTAATAATAATAATAATAATAATAATAATAATAATAATTGTAAAAGTAATAATATTAGAGAGAAAATTCTTAAAATTGTCCTTTGTAATAATGTATTTTTCAAATTCAGTGCTCAATAAGTTATAATTATTTACGTGGTCCTTTATAATTGAGATTTGTTCATCAGGTAGTCTTTCGTAAATAATGTTATTCAAAAGACAATTAATTAAATGGTATTTTTACATTTTTATCATGTAAATTTAAAGTATATTCTTGAAATGGTAAATTCTATACAATTAAATGTAAAATTTAAAAAATACGTTGGCTATACATATTCCATGAATTACTAAAAACCTATAAAAAAATCCTTTACAATTTGAATCAAACACACATCTTTAATTAGAAAAAAACATTTTGGGAAAATACTTCATTAGAAATGATCATTTTAAGAATTTATTCTAAATTTAGATCATAAAAAGTACCAAAATACCCCGAATTAATCATCATTTGATTAACATTATTTACGAAAGACCATGTAAGGAATAAATCTCAATTATAGAGGACATAAGCAATTAAAATATTATAATTCAAATCAATAATTTGATCCGACTTTATAATAACTTTTGAAAATTGTAATCCCCCGACTCTCAAGGATCGCCGTTCAAGTGGCATGAGTAGTCTTTTCAATTCTTCTAAAGCAATGATGAGGACACAAGTTCGAATTCGATTTGTTTCCATTTTACAATATAAAAAAGCAAAAGAATATAATTTTCAACTTGGAAAATTGGCATTTTACACACCATAATAACAATTGCTACAAATATTGAGAAATATGAATGGTGAAAAATTATTAAGTTCATAACAATTACGGAGTAAAGCGAAATACTAGAAATAGTGTAGCATTCATATTTTATAGGTGGACAAAATTAGCATTTTATAGCATGCAATGCTCGTAAATGTAGTGGATTGAATAATAATACCTGGAGTAATAATTTTATGAAACGAGTAATAAAAAAAATGAACACATAAACTGAGTAAATTTAACCATGTGGATGGCGTATGAGAGAAAGATTAACCAGAACAGTTAGTATTTGTAAACAATAGCAATGAGGTCCGCTTCAAAANCCCCCCCCCCCCCCTCCCCCTCCTAAACAGAAACAGAAAAAGAAGGAAAAAAAAAAGACTTGGTTCGTTTCATTTTAACTCTTTCACTTGACGGGGTGATTCCACATATATCTACCCATGTGATTCCACATATATCTAACAAAAATTTAGAAACGGGAAACATCCCAAGGGCCATGAAGCCGCATTCAAAAGTGGGAGAATAGGAATACCAAATAGCCTCTTGCTACTCTAACAAGATATCTCACTTGAAACAGCCAATCTCCAAAAGTCAAAAGGCATGCAGCAAAACATAGTTCAAGCACATTCTTCAAGCCAAAACACAGCAGAGAAAGGAGAAAATGTTTCCCAAAGTAGTATGGGCATTGGGTTCTGAACAAACCAAGATAATAGCGCGCCACAACACTCAAAAAGGAAAAAAAACATTAACTGTGAATTCTTGGTATGGCTGATTTGTGTTCTTCAATTCCATCCATATATCAACCAGTTCTTTTAATTATGTGAACACCGCTATCCGTATCAACAATGTTGCTAATATCACCAACTTGAAGTGCAAAAGCTGCATCTTCGAATGGCTTCTGCATCTGCCGACGGCCAAAAGTACCTACAACACAAGCAGTTTGTTTGAAAACCAGCATTATATTATTGCATCACTGCAGCAACTGGCCTAGCTGAATAAAAGTTGGAAAATTACACGGAAACAAGATGCTGAAAGTCGTGCATCAAAAACAACCATACAAGTTTTTGCAACATAATGAAGCCTACTAATGGGATTGGGAAGAGTAGGCTGCAAACTGCTCACATCTAAATTTGGAATGATAACGAGGTCACATGATATGGACTTATTTCATGAGCAAATTTAACCCCTTTTTTTGGAAAGTGCGTGAAGAAACGAATATTTTTTAAAAGTAACTTTTCAAATACACTTTTTTTAAAAAGCAATATTTGGAGCTTTCTAATTTAGGCTACTTTTGAAAAGGGCTTCCTAATAGATACAATATTTGAAAACAACTCAAACCTAAATACTTTCATATTTTAGATTCCCCTAAAAGAAAGTTTAGAACCAGTAGTGGAGCGAGAAAAAGGGAGGGGGAGGGGGGGGGGTGAAGTAGTGAGAGTAAATAACAATTCATACCATACTTTGATTGTTTTTTTTTGTCCCACAAAAAGGTTCTATATTTCCTTTTTTTTGTTTGTCCTAAGAAAAGGTTTCTCTTTTCTTTTGAAGAAGGAATTATGTGTTTCACACGATTTCTATCTGATACAAAAATCAATCACAAACTTTCACTTTTATTTATAACAGTGACAGTCAATTGTGACAATTTCACTTTTATTATTAACAAAAAGAACACAACCAAGCCATAATTCCAATTGAATGAGGTTAGGCATGGGAACTAATGAGAAATCTACCAAAGTTATCCACTAAAATTGTTCTCTTTATTCTCTTTCATGCACCATATATGTCCATTAGGCTCCAACCCTCCAATATCCCTCTTGAAAGAATCTACAACTAAAATCAATCCAAGTAATATTTGGTTACCCTAACTTCTCTTATAGACATTATAGTCCCCCACAGTTTAGACTATAGAGATCCCATCATCTTCATAGAGTACTTTCAGCGTTAGATTATGTCAATTGCCAGATTAGTTTTCAGCACAGCACTCTCGTGAGCAATTACACAACATTGCAACCCTAACGTTTGGTTACCGAGTAACCGATTTGCAAAAAGAGTGGTTCTAAATCGTGCAATAAGCTAAAACTACCAGAGCATAATGTTTGATTCCAAATCACGCCATAAAATAAAGCGATAAATGTGTAATGTTTGATTATAAATTAAACATTATCAATGGGAAATGATAATGTTTGATTCTAAATCGCGCCATAACCAAACCACCAACACTAAACAGAAATAATAATTTGTAATTGCATAAATGATGCCTACTAGCGGATTATATATTTGTATGGTAAGGTGGATGTAGGAATTACCAAGATCTCCGCCGCGTTTCGCGGAGCTGCAATCAGAGTAGCTAGAGGCGATATCCTCGAAAAGTGACTTTCCGGAGAGGATGTCTTGGCGCAAGCCTCTGAGCAGGGAGACGGCGGCGTCCCGGGTGGTGTTACGGATAACGCGCCCCTCCGGATCCTTCCACGACGCCGTGCGTCTCGATCCCTGGTGTTTGATCAGTATGTGGGATGCTCTTACTTGGTCCGACGCCATCTATTTGAGCCTCAGAGAATACTAAACCCCAGAAGATGAACCGCTAGTGATGATCGTGCAGCTATACAACTGCATAACAAAAACAAATGGGTGGTGATAGTCACACCACCTAAATACTACATTCACTCCACATACTAAATTTATTTCATTAATTTCTACATTATTTTTAATTCATGAGCTCATATGGAACATTTTAAAATTTTAAACATTTTGATAAAATTCTACTCGGTATTTTGAATCAAATTATTTTTTATTTTTTATTTTTCTAGTAAATATAATTTTAATTTTTAGATATGATATCTTTTTAATATAAAAGTTGTAGTTTTAATATTAATGCATATTTATTACTATTTATAAAAAATGTTGTTCTTGAATGTAATAAAAGAGAATAATGGTGATCAATTTTAAAATTTATACTCCATATAAAGTTTTAAAGTAAAACATACTCCCTCCGTCCCACTGTATTTGTCCACTTTTCCTTTTTTGGATGTCCCACTGTATTTGTCCACTTACTATTTTTGGAGTATCAAATGTCTCTTTTGCCACTCCTTTTTTAATTTAACCCACTTCACCTTTCACTGTCCACCCACTCCACCGTTTCTAGATCTATTCGATTAGATCTACACCCAATCTCTCTCATCCTCTTCGTATTCCAGCTGTTTCTAGATCTCTTAGCTTAGATCTATTCCCAGTCTCTCTCATCCTCTTCGTATTCCAACCATGGAACCTCATACACTGAGTTGGAATTGTGTTCCATTGTCCCTGAAACTCCAATTCCAACCAGGGAATCCTCATTCTCTGAGTTTGAATTGTGTTCTTTCATCCCTGAAACTCCAGAATCGGTCGGAGTGAAGGTGACGGTCGGAAGTTCAGAGCAGTCGCCCTCCGTGCATGCATCTGTGGATGGTGAGCCACTCCCTCCTGTGGTTGTGCCCTATGTCCCTTCCCATTATGATCCATTCATTGAAGCCGCCAAGCTTGAATTTGACCCAAGATTCAATGTGCCGGACTGGTACCAAAACATTGTAATGATTTACTCTACCAAATGCCCATACAGATTGTATGGGGTGAATAGTGTTTTTTTGTACTTCAAGTTATATTTAATGTTAGACCTTTAGTACTTTACTTTTTTTTCAATCATTGTCGTATGGGTGGGTGTATGGCAGCTGTGGAATGGACGGCATTTGAGTCTTTTTCACAGCCCCTCCCCCACTTCCTTAGTTCTTGGTCCAAAAAGAATGTGGACAAAAAGACTGGGACAGAGGGTATAACATTCTTTTTAAAATAATAAAATAACTATGTAGATTAAAATGGTGAAATGCATATGGGTATAATCCATAAAAGAATAAGATTTATACAAAATCCACTGTCATTCAATGTATTAACAATAAAAATTATTTTAATTAATTAAAAATTAAAATAAGGAATATCAATGTTTTAAAATTAAAATTTAAAATTTTTTAAATAAGTAATAAAATGAAATAAATAATGGATAGTTTTAAATATTCATGTATAATGTTTGTTTAACTTAATAATGTTCATATAACTTTTTTAAATAATAACATAATAATGCATCTGAGATGAATTTAGCTGATGGGTGTATTTACATGGAAGAGGGAAGGTAATCCAACTTTGGGCATTGTAACAAAACGGTAAAGTATTTCATCTTTAACTTGTAACAAAAAAGTATTTCATAAAAAATGTAACAAAAAGGTACCCTTTTCCAGAATTTTGAGAATTCGGCCGATGAGTGCACATGTGGCATTCTTCTTAGCTTTCTAGTGTACATGTGGCATTCCATAGGACTTCCAAATTAAATTCTAATTTGTCCAATATTTAATTAAATCTGTACAGAGTATTTGATACATATAAAGTCAACTTTTTAAAATAAACTTTATTTTATTTATATAATTTAATTTTTTTCTTGTAATGAAAGTATATTTTACGGAGTACATTTTAACTTTATTTTAATGTTGTTCTTTCTATAAGATTTACATTTTAATTTTATAATTTACATCATACGTATTTTAAACATAAGTAGAAATAACATTTTAATAATTGTCTATAATATGTTTTAAAGATTTATTAGGATTTTTTAAAATTTAAATTTAAAAAATACGTATTATTAATTTTATTAATATTACTATTACTATGACAGTCATCATCATTATTATCGAGTATTGTTGATACGTGTAATGAGTTTTTATAAGTTATCTAATTATTTTTTTTGAATACGCGTTCATGCAACTTCGTGTTTATTTATCTATTTAAATTCTAATTTCAAAAGATTGTAAATATTTTAAAATTTTGATAAATAAGAAACTCCCTCCTTTAAATTACAATAAAGATAATTATTCAAAAAGTGGTCGCTAGTTTGGCTTAAATTTTTTTGTAAATATTAAAAAAATGATAATGTATAAATAAAATATAATTTATTTTAAAAATTAAAGCTTGATCTTATACTTCGTATGTGCCAAGTAAAAAGTTAATTGTGCATAGGAGAAGTTACAAGTTAATTTGAAAGTCATATGTAAACTAGGAAGCCAAGTCGAATCCCACATGTGCACTCCTTGGCTGGATTTTCAAAATTTCGGCAAGAGGTGTTCTTTTGTTACTATTTCTTAAGATGAGGTATCTTTTGTTACAAATTGAAGATATTGTATTTTTTGTTATAAGATCTAAAGTTGGGGTACCTCCCAAGAAAAAAAGCCTCCTACTCTGGGTCCAATGCAGTGGACATGAGTGGGAATGATGGATAAGCATGAGGCCTATTAGTTCTTTTTTCGTCTAAAAAAATCTTTCTTGTTTTAATTTTTTTTTGTTAAAAAGTGACACATTTTGACCATAAATTGTAAGAAAAGTATATTTAATTATAATATAAATTCAATATAATTGAGTTATCTTAGCATATAGCTTTGATATATATTAAATTTTTATATCTTTTATTTATTAAAATTATGTTTAATTTATGGTCAAACAATGTCACTATTTGAATAAGAAAGGTCAAAATAGGAAAAAATTTTAATACCGGAGGGAGTGATTGAATTTGAATGAAAAAAAATTGAAAAAAACTAGAAAGAATTTTAAAAAAAAATTAATGAGTTAGAAAATATTGGATAAAAGTTGAAGAAAATTAAAAAAAAGTTAAAAAAAAATTAAAGGTTGTGAAATAGTTATATTTTATAAATTTTATACTTTATGCTCCGTAATAAATAATATAACTCTACTTTTTTAAATTTTTAATCACTTTTTGTTTTCTTTTATGTCGTTATATTTTTGTCTCAAATCATATTAGAAATATTTGTGCACACTCACTTTTACTCTCTTTGCTTTTTAAAATCAATATCTATGGTATCTTTTTTTATTTCTTAAGTTGCATGTCACTAATTAAGCAATCATTAAATCATATATGGAATCGTTTTGTTCTAAAAAATTATAACTATATTTTTTTCATAAAAAATCTACTCCGTTATTGTTGGTTCGAAATAAGTACAACAACTTTTCATATCTATCTTTTATTCGACTTTCATGGCCTGCAACACTTTGATCATTAATATATTTCTGTGTGTGTATGTATGTGTATATATATATATATATATGTATGTATATGCAGATTTTGGATCATGTGAGAATGCAATCTTATGAAAGAAATAAGAATGAATCTGGTGCTTTAGATTGTGAGATCTAAGGGTCAAGATTGCATCAAAATTAGGTGCACCAAAATGATTTGAAAATGCATCATGTCGAAATGCACCAAAATCCTTTAAAAATGCACTATCTCAAAATCTGAGTGCAGGATGCAATCTGAGCCGCACGATGCATCAGATCCAAAGGCTAGGTTTTATTCTTATTTCTTTCACCAAGGTGCATTCTCACCTGAACCGCCCCCTATGTATGTATATGTATATGTATGTATATATATATATATATATATATGTATGTATGTATGTGTCTATATATATATATATATATATATATATATATATATATATAAAATGAAAAGTTTTATTTTTCAAAATTGTGTTTCTAAATTAGACTATTTATTGGAGAATTCAATATATCTCCCATTAATTTTTGATCAAAATGTTAAAACATTGAATAGAACACATTTCAAAAAAACATAATTAAGAAACATTTCAGAATCATAAAGGAAAACACAAATTAATTGATTAAACATTCTTATAATTTACATTGACATTATAATGACAACTAAAATATTTTGAGGATAAAATATTTTTAATAAATTGTGACATTCCATCAATTTTAAATATTTTATTGAGATAATAATAATAGTAATAATAATAATATAAAACAATAATAATGAATTATCATGATTCCAATAATCCACAGCAAGAGAAAAACAAAACATAAAGTAAACAAGAAAAACAAAATAAAAAGCATTAATGTCCACCCCATTGAAGTCCGAACTATCAGTTGGGAAAATCACCTCAATTTTCTAGCGGAAGCAATTAATAATTTTCTCGTCTTTGTGTTGTCAAATTGGGCAAAATCATATGACCGATCAAGAATAGTAAACACGACAACAAGCAATCAATCAAATGATAAACGAACACCAAGATTTAACGTGGAAACCCCAAATTTGTGAAAAAACCACCAATCCTTCCACTAATGACCAAGAAAAATCAGTCGGTACAACCAAGAATCTTCTCTAAATCAATTAAAGGTACACACAATCATCAAGCAACAACATGGAACACCAAACAACAATAATTTTCACTTAAAAAGGAGAAAACTACACAAAAACGCAGCAGAGAAGCAAAGGCAATTTTACCAACATCAAGAGGTCAAAACTGAAGAAAGATGCAATATTATTTCTGAATGAATACAAGAGTTCCACCTCCCGAATATATATAGATGGAGGGTTACGTGAATAAGGTAAGTTATTAATGTAGAGAAACTATACAAGCCAACTTAGCATAAATATACAATATTAAATATGTAAATATTTAACATGCTTCCGGCTACGTTGGTGAAGGTCGTATCCCAAGATTTTGCCGGAAATCAGAAAAGAGAAGTGTTGGAAGTCCTTTCGTGAAGATGTCAGCGAACTGTGATGAGGAGGGAACATGAAGAACTCGAACTTGGCCCAACGCGACTTTATCTCTAACGAAGTGGATGTCGACCTCAACGTGCTTTGTGCGCTGGTTCTGGACTGGGTTGGATGACAGATAGACAGCACTGATGTTATCACAGAACACGAGCGTGGCCCGACGAAGGGGTAGTTGTAGCTCTAGTAGTAGATTTCGGATCCAACTAGTTTCAGCAACGGCGTTGGCGACTGCTCTATATTCGGCTTCGGCACTCGAGCGTGAGGTAGTAGCCTGCCGCTTTGAGGACCATGAGACAAGATTATCACCGAGGAAGACACAATAACCTGAAGTAGAGCGCCTGGTGTCGGGGCAGCCAGCCCAATCCGCATCTGAATAGGCCTGAAGACAGTCAGTGGATGACCGGGAGAGTGTGATTCCATGAGTGACTGTACCATGGAGATAGCGGAGGACTCGCTTTAAAGCAGTGAGGTGTCCCGTCCGTGGGCAATGGAGGTAAAGACAAAGCTGCTGCACAGCATATGTAAGATCGGGACGAGTAAATGTGAGGTACTGTAGGGCTCCAACAATGGACCGGTAAAGGGAAGGGTCCTCCACTGGGTCGCCAGTGTTGGCAGACAGCTTCCCTTTGGTATCTACTGGTGTCGAGACGGGCTTACAAGAGACCATACCTGCACGTTCTAGAATTTCATGGGCAAACTGAGTTTGATGTAAGAAGAGGCCTCCTGCAGTACGCTGAACATTGATGCCCAGAAAGAAATTAAGCTCCCCCATGTCACTCATGGCAAACTCCCCTTTCAACCTTTGTGTAATCCTGTGAAGCAAGTTATTGGTGGATGCAGTGAGAATGATGTCATCAACATAAAGAAGAAGATAAGCCCTGTCTTGGCCACGAGAGTAAACAAAGAGTGAGCTATCGGTCTTGCACCCATGAAATCCAATCAGCTTGAGAAAACCGCCAAAGCGCAAATACCAGGAACGGGGAGCCTGTTTTAAACCATAGAGAGCTTTCTTGAGTCGACAAACATGATGTGGGCGAGAGGGATCCTGAAATCCATATGGCTGACTGGCATAAACCGTTTCCTGTAAATGTCCATGAAGAAAAGCATTTTTCACATCCAACTGATGAATGGGCCATCCACGTGAGAGTGCTATGCTGAGGACAATGCGAATGGTGGTAGGCTTGATGACAGGACTGAAGGTCTCGCCGTAGTCGACACCAAAACGTTGGTTGAACCCTCGGACAACCCAGCGAGCTTTGTACCTGGACAGATCACCTGTAGGGCCAAATTTGTGACGAAAAAGCCATTTTCCAGATATAATATTTTGGTTATGGGAGGGTGGAACTAGTTCCCATGTGTTATTCTTTATCAAAGCATTAAATTCATCACACATTGCATTATACCAATTGGGGTCCTTGAGTGCACTACGGTAGGTTGGGGGGAGGGGGGAAATTTGGGCTGAAGTGTTGAGGTTTAGAATTTGTCTCGGACGGGTGATACCGGATTTTGACCGGGTGGTCATATGGTGGGTATTTTGAGGGAGGTCGACAGGAGGGTTCTCGATTTGGGTTTGGGAGGAGTGGTCTGGGAGTGGTTGAGCTGCGGTGGTGGTTTGGGCTGGGAGTGATTGGCCTTGGGTGGTAGTTAGGTTTGGGTGGAGAGTGGGTTGGGAGGGATGTGGTTGAGAGATGAGGGGGCAGTCGGGTTGGGTTGTATGTGGGCCAGATTGCGGGTGTGTAGGTATAGTAGATAGGGATGGGTGGTGGTGATAAGGGATGGAGTCCTCCGTGGAGTCAAGGAAGCGGAACTCTTCTGGTGTGGGCGAGTGGGTGAATGGAAAGGTAGACTCATCGAAAATGACATGGCGGGAGATGATTATCTTATGCGTGGCAAGGTCAAGACATCGATAGCCACGTTGATTGGTGGGATAACCCAAGAAGACGCAGCGAGCTGAGCGGGGAGATAACTTGTGAGGTGCAGTGGCGGAGGTGTTGGGATTACACAGACATCCGAAGACACGAAGATGAGAGTAATCTGGGGAAGATCCAAACAATACTTCATGTGGGGTAAGGTTTTTAAGAGTAGTGGTGGGCAGGAGGTTGAAGAGATAGCAGGCCATATTTAAAGCCTCGACCCAATAGGAGGGAGGAAGTTGGGCTTGGAAGAGGAGGGTACGGACCGTGTTATTGATGGTACGGATGGTGCGCTCAGCTCGCCCGTTCTGTTGACTTGTGTGAGGGCAAGAAAAACGGAACAAAATACCAAGTGAGTTAAAAATGTTTTGCAGCGGGGAGTTTCGATATTCTGTCCCGTTGTCACATTGTACTGCTTTAATTGTAGTATTAAATTGATTTTTCACATAGGAAATAAAGTTGGTGAGATGGGAGAAAGCATCAGACTTATGACGTAAAGGAAACACCCACAAATAATGTGAAAAATAATCCAACAGAAGCATATACCATTTAAAACCAGTAACACTAAGAACAGGAGATTGCCATAGATCTGTATGTAATAATTGAAAAGGAAACATTGAAACACGACTAGACGCAGTAAAGGGAAGGCGAACATGTTTGCCTAGTTGACACGCATGACATAAAGAGTGCATAAATTGTTTATTAAATAAATTGGAAAGACTGGGGACTCCATGAAGGACTGCAGGACTGGGGTGTCCCAGACGACGATGCCAAGTTTCAGCAACAGAGGCAACGTGATCTGGGCAGCTGGATCTGGGGGGCGCAGAGGATAGAGTGGGCCGTCATTATTGGACCAATAGATCATGATTCCCGTCCGAGGATCCTTCACAGAAAAACCATGTGAGTCAAATTCAATGGTGCAATTATTATCACGGGTGAATTGTTTAACGGAAATAAGGTTATGAATAATGTGGGGTGATATGAGGACATTGTTGAGGGAGAGGGGTGGGGAGGTGGAAAAGGTGTGAGTGCCAGTTGCCGTAGTGCGAACTTTAGAACCATTACCAACAGTAATAAATGTGGGAGAATTTAAAGTTTGAGAATTAACATGAGAAATAGTCCCTGGGTCAGAAGCTATGTGATGTGATGCCCCGGTGTCCATGAACCACGTGGGTTCACGGAGAGTCAAGGTATCGAATTAGTGAGTGAGGGCTGTTGGGGTTTGGGTGTGGGGGCTGTTTGGGTTGAAGGTGGCAGTGNGGGGGGAGTTTGGGTAATGGGCTGGAAGGGAATTTGGGTAGGAATAAGGGGTGAGGTTCGGGTATGGGCTTGGGGGGTAAGAAGTGGAGGTGTAATGGGCTTGAGGGTATGGGCCAGGGTTTGGGCGCGGGCCTAAAAGACCCGGCCCGGTATGAGGAGGGGTGATCTGCCAGGGGTTGCTGCCGTAGGGAAGTCTGGAATTCACGTCGCTGTTTCTGCCTCGACCACGGCCACGATTCGTCCGTCCGCCCCGATAGCCGCCGCCGCCGCCGCTGGAGTGTCCCCCAAGTCCGCCGCTGCTTCCTCCCTGTCCGCTGCCGTGAGGATAGACACCACCGTGCTGGTATGGGTGTCCCGAGCGCGGCCCACCATGATGGCCAACGGCTGCCAAAGCCGTGGAGTGGTCGGCGAGGTCTCCGGTGGGTTGCCGCTGCTGCTCGAGAAGGAGGAGGGCCGAACGTGTCTCCAGGAAGGTGGGGGGAGGCTTTTGGAACTGCAAGAACGACGCCCGAGCACTAAGATCATCCGGGAGGCCACGGAGTACTTGAAGAACCAACTGATTTTCGGTAACTGGGGCATCAACGTCATCGAGCCAATCTGCGATATTGCGGAGATTTTGACAATAAGCGGTGATGGAGGCCGAGCCTTTGGTGGTGCTAAAAAACTTGTGTTCAAGTTGCATGGCTCGAGCGGCTTTGTTGTCGTGAAATAGTTGATGGATAGCTTTCCAAAGATCGGCCGAGGAGGTGGTAGAGGAGATGATGAGATCGGAGACTTCGTCCGTAATAGTGGACAAAATCCAACCTTGAATTAGGGCGTCGAGTTGAATCCATTCAACGTCGTCTTTGCCGGAGGAAACGGTTGAGCCGGTGAGAAACCCTTCGAGATTGAATTGGCGAACGAGTAAGAGGAAGAGACGGCTCCACTTCTTGTAATTGGGTTCGGAAAAACTCAAGAGGACGGGAACTTGAAGTTTGACGTTTGAGACGGTTGTAAAAGCAAGGTGGGGTGGATTCGCCGTGACAGAGGTTGAGGGGGACGGAGTTTTGTCAGCCGACATAGTAAAAAAGGAGATGAGAGGAGAAAGAACCGGGGGGTCTGCCACAGCCGAGAGGGAGGTGGCTGGGAAGGTTTGGCAGAGACGGCAAAGAGAGAAGAGGGGCAGCCGCAAGAGGGTAGGGAGGGTAGGGTTTTTTTTCTTGTTATGGCTCTGATACCATGAAGAAAGATGTAATATTATTTCTGAATGAATACAAGAGTTCCACCTCCCGAATATATATAGATGGAGGGTTACGTGAATAAGGTAAGTTATTAATGTAGAGAAACTATACAAGCCAACTTAGCATAAATATACAATATTAAATATGTAAATATTTAACAAAAACAACAATCCCACTATTGGATATGATGAAGAGGATGTCAGGAACAACATACTAAAATTTCATCTCGATCGGAGCTCGTTTGGTCGTCGATCAGAGAAAAAATACGGATTGCTGCGCCACTTTTTTTCTCTTCTTTTCTCTCTTGGCTCCCACTCTCTCTGTCTCTGTGGCTGTTCTTTTTCCCGTGAAGGCTACTGCCAAGTGCCAACCTTTTCTTTCTTTGAATGTTGCTCCCAACAATAGAAGCATTTCACTTTGCTTTTTGATTTAGATCTCCCCCTGGATTCAAAGTCTCTATGTTTGTGTCTTCTCCTCTTTCTTCTCAGAAGTCTGGCCCGTTTCCTCTTTTTGATGGGCTTTCTCTTGTTTCATCTATCTGCACTGAGATATCTTATGCCCCGGTTTATCACAATAGAAGCATTTCACTTCGCTTCTTGATTTAGATCTCCCCCTGGATTCAAAGTCTATATGTTTGTGTCTTCCACGACCCTCTACCTCAACAACATGATCGTAATCTGAATAGCTGGAGGAACTTAAATCTAGCTTCTTTGTTCAGCAGGCTCGACTTCACAACATCCATTGTGATGAACTTACCCTTTGGAGCATAATTGCTAAGTGATACAAACAAGGTCTCCCAGCTTTTTGGCAACGACCTGAGGAGAAACAACGCCTGCAATTCATCATCTAAAAGCAATTTCATTGAAGACAACTGGTTAATCAATCCATGAAAATCATTCAAATGCTCTACCACACTTTGCACATCCCTATAATCAAGCTTCACAAGTCTTCTCATAATAAAGGCTTTATTCATGGCATTTTCTCTCTCATACATGCATTTGAGTTTCTCCCACAGTTCATAGGCGTTGGTATCATTAGCAACATGGTGAAACACACTATCAACAATAAATTTCCTAATCATTCCCATGGTTTTCTGATTAAGCAATTTCCAAGTATCTTCTTGTTTACCGCTTGACATCTCCTTATTCAAGATCAGTTCATGTAAATCCTTAATATATAAAATATCTTCCATCCTGGGTTTCCAAATTTGATAATTGGAGGAGTTCACTTTAATAATTTTACCAAAAACGGCTTTATCCTCCATTTTAACAACACAATAAAATCACCCAAAAATATCAACTCAAGCTCCGATACCAATTTGTTGGGAAAAGCACCTCAATTTTCTAGTAGAAGTAATTAATAATTTTCCGGTCTTTGTGTTGTCAAAATGGGCAAAATCATATGACCGATCAAGGATAGTAAACACGACAATAAGCAATCAATCAAACGATAAACGAACACTAAGATTTAACGTGGAAACCCCAAATCGGGGAAAACCACGAATCCTTCCACTAATCACCAAGAAAAATCAGTGGGTACAACCAAAAATCCTCTCTAAATGAATTAGAGGTACACACAATCATCAAGCAACAACTTGGAACCCCAAACAACAATAATCTTCACTCAAAAGTGAGAAAACCATGCAAAAACGTAGAAGAGAAACAGAGGCGATTTTACCAACATCAAGAGGTCAAAACAACAATCCCAGCATTGAATATGAAAAAGAGGATGTCAGGAACAACATGCTAAAATTTCATCCCGATCGGAGCTCGCTTGGTCGTCGATCAAAGCAAAAACCCGGACTGCTGCGCCACTTTTTCTCTCTTCTTTTCTCTCTCGGCTCCCACTCTCTCTGTCTCTTCGGCTGTTCTTTTTCCCGTGAAGGCTACTGCCAAGTGCCAACCTTTTCTTTCTTTGAATGTTGCTCCCAATAATAAGCAAGTGGTAGCCCCCACTGATAATCGTAGTTTTCGGGTAGTAAACCTTCCCAGTAAAGGGTTAGTTTTCTCTCTGAGTGTCGTTTCTCTCAAGGAGTGAACGAAGGGAATTAGTTAATTTCTATAATTAGGCGAAGGTTAAGATAGGTTTATGAAAGTCTTCTTGGAACGATTATAAAAAGTGCAGAGTAAAAACAAAAATAAATTTATTTACATAGTATAAGCAATATCTGGACCTAGGGTTAGGACATTATTTGGATCTACTTTATCATATTTAATTAATAATTGGAATAATAATATTTCTATTATTACTCACCTATTTCTAGGTTTGTACTTAATCCGTTGCCCTTGAATATCATAGCCCTTCGACATACAATATTTTCTAAATAAATAGCTAATTAAATCTTTCGATATTAATTAACTAAATAAGGCAAGAGCAATAGACTAACCATTCCAACATTAATTTAACATTCAAAGTATACAACCAAACTAGTCCGGACCTAGAGGTTCGAACCCCAACTCATACTATGCAAACATAAATTAAAATAACATTATATTAATTTGGGAAAATTTACAACCTCCGTACACGCGAAACAGAACAGATCTGGAGTCAAAACCTCCACAAATACTTCAAAACTACTACTAACACTAATATACAAGCTAAAATGAATAATAGAGGGGTAAAAACCCGAGAATGTGATGGAATGGTGTGTTGAATGGTTGAGAATGGTGCTTTATATATACGGATGGAGCCAAGGCGTCCAAGTCAAAGTGTCCAGATCTGAACGCCAAAGTTGTTCCAGCCAATCATGTTTTGCCACGTGTCATTTCTGGGCTGATTTTTAGCTGAAGCGTCCAAATCCCAAGCGTCCAACTTGGCCAAGCATCCAAGTTGGACGCCTCAGGCTCTTCTCTTGTTGGGCTTCGCGGCTGGTTTGTGATTTTAGCCCAATTTTGCACCATTTTGGCCCCGAACACTGCTTTTGACCTCCCGGAAGCTCGTTCAAGCCCGAATCTTGATCCTTTGATGATTGATTCCCTTTTTATCAAGTATTTGAACATAAAATGGATGATTTATGATGATTTTATGTGGAATCCCGTTTTATGACTCTTAGAACGAAAATGAGAGTTTTCGTCATTAAAAACATATTTCATGAGATGATTAAATGCTATTTCCGTGCAATAACGTTTAGAATATGATGTAAATGATAAGAGCGAAACGGACTTATCACCCACCACTCACCCTTTTTTCCTTTTCTTTATAATAATAATAAGAGATATAATAATAATTATTATTATTAGTATAGTAACCACCTTTAAACCAATTACATTTTTAACACTAAATGTATAGTTTAAGAACTCCTTCCTCCATGTAGGAGGAATACCACAACACTATCTAACAATGTTTTTAAGGTAAAAAATTTCCATAAGTATAACAGATAAAAACAAAAAAAAAAGTTAAAAAAAGAAACAATGCTCCCTGAGTGTTTACTTCAGGTTCTTGTGTCGTGTTGAGCTGCTTCTCTTCCCCATCCCCTTTTCTTTTGTTCCCTGATGCCTCCTTGATTAGATGTTTCTCTAGGCCTTTCTTTAAAATTTTCATGAGTAGTGCCACTCTTGCCAATCCTTTTCCACTCAAGTTTTTTGCTCTTATGTTTAGGCTTTGGAAGTATCCATTCTTCTTCTTTCAGGTGCCCCTTTCCTTCACTCTATCCTTGTCCTCTTTATCAAGTGAAAGATAACCTCTCTTTTATCCTTGTCTTTAGATTCTTTTTCCTGGTGGTCTCTACAATACCCTTAAGTATGGCCTAGTTTACTACAATCCAGACAGTAGTCTGGCAGATTCTCATAAACTATAGGAATAAGCTATTCTTCCTCTTCAACTAGGATAAAGATTTTTGAAGGTAAGGCTGCTGATACATCCAATTCAACACATACTCTTGCTAAGTCTGGCCTTGAAAAATTTAGAATATTTTCATATACTTTTAGGGGCTTCCCTAATCTCCCTGCAATTACCATTAATGCTCTCTTGTCATGTAGATGAATAGGTAAATGTGGTAAGGAGATCTAAACTGGCACAATGAGGCAGTCTTTACCTTGTTTGGAGAAAGGTGTCCATTTAGTGATAATCATGCGATGGGCTCCAATGTCCCAAGTTTGTCTTATAAAAATTCTTAGATAATATGCTTCATGATCAAGGTTTATTAGAACCTGATTATCATTTAGTAGTCCATGCGAGAAGTTCCCTATCAATCCAAGCCTTAGTAAAAAGTTCTTAATCTCTGGATATGCTGGCCGTCGATTAAAAGATCCTATGCGCGCAAATTCAAATCTCTTTGCCAAGATTTCAGTATCCTTTTTTTGAAAAAGAAAATGCACACAGACCTTTACGGTTCTCAAGGGGAAAAGAGAAACTCCTCGCCCTCGCTCCATTCGTCAATACTCTCCTGGAAAAAACCTTTGCAAATATACTCCCAAGCTCGTTCGTCATGCAACGAATATGTACCTCTTTAGTACCGATGAGTATTTCCAAACCGCTTTTGGTGAATCCATTTGAGTGTATGTGATCCAAGATGAAAATACCAATTGGAGTATGCGGGGGATATTAGGAATAATAATACCAATGTGATCCGCTTTTGGTGAATCCATTTCAGCTTGCGGGGGATATTAGGAATAATAATTATAAAGAAATCTCTCTCAATAGGAGTAAAGAAATATGAAAATACCAAAATAGATTTTTTAAAGTCTTTTAAGACCAAAATAGGAATATAAGGACAGTGTGATGTAAGATTACGCTAACGAACTACGTATAGCGGTAAGTCAACAAATAACCGAGTAAGATGCGGGTCGTTCTCTCTAGGAGTGTCAAAGGGAATAATTAGTTTTATTATTTATCACAGGTAAATTTATAGTTTAAGAGATGCGAATAAATAAGAAATAAGTGACTAAAATAAATGATAAAATAACTCCAGGAGTTAAGATCGGAACGCGGACTTAACACAATTTAACTCATCTTTAATTAACAATTAGATTAATGAAATGTGTAGTAGTTATATTTAATATATCTCCTATTTCTAGGTCTCAATATAGAACATAAATGCTAATCTTATATTTAATACATCTATTTCTAGGTCTCATTAATAATTATAAGACTATTTTATTTCTAGTACATCTCCTATTTCTAGGTCTCAGTACTGTGCTAGAAAATGTTCGGCTTAAATAATTCTAAATCTTCATAGACAAGGCAAGAATTATTTTCCAATTACTTAATTAATAAAATGTTTAGTATTATTAATTAGTTAAAACCATTACAAACGGTTGTTTCTAACCCTGCCTATTTCTCGATGTTCAGAATGTGTGGCTTAATTACTCTTTTTACCTCATAGACTAGATAAAAGATTAATTTCCAATGATTAATTAATAATAAAAACAATTTTATTAATTGATAAACCTTTATTCATTTTCTAACAATTAATCCAATTACTAATAAATAGATGAAATTAAATTGATTAAATCTTTATTCTGAATCCTAAGTCCTAACCCATGTAAAATTACCAATTCATAAGCTTAAATATAACATTCAACATCATCATAATAATAAATTTAATTCTCAAAGGGATATCATCCAATAATAAATTTCAAAGAAACAAAAAATTTTATTTAATAAAAATTCAATAAGGATTACAGACAAGAGATAGAGGAACTTATAGTGCTCCCAAAACTGAGAAATTGACTCTTAAAGAAGAAATTTAAGCAACACAATTTTAATACAATAGTTTGGAATAAAATGAGATGAATTTCGCCCCTAAAAGGTGAAAAATCGTAAGGGGAAACTGGGAAAGCATAGGGAAACACAAGGAGCCCAGTGGCGGATGTATGTGGAAGGAATGGGGGGCATATGCCCCCAACTAACTTTTAGAGTTAAACAAAAACAATTTTTTTTTTTTACTTTTTCTGTATATTTGGGCCACTGCCCCCATCTAGAAATTAGAATGACCCCAATAGGCAACATCCCAATAATCCAGCCCATTTTTTTTACTTAAGTTTAATTTTTTTAACCAATTAACATTTTTAGTTTTTCACAATTAAAGACATAAAGTAAGAAACCTAATCTTACGGAAGTGGGCTGTAGCGGCTCTGCGGCTGTGGTCTGTGGCGATTTGGCGAACTGGCGAAGTGGCGATCTTCCATCTTCATCGACTATTTGGGGCTACCGAAGCAGGCGAAGCTGGAGCCTGGAGAACGAAAGCAACGATCTGTCAATCTTCCATCTTCATACGTTCTTAATCATCATAGCATAGCCTATTCCCCTTCATCGGAAATTCGGAATCCTCATTCGATCGGTGAGTCCATAGTCCTATTTTCAATTTATTAGTATTTTATTTCTTAATTACTGTTAATTCCTTATATTATGATGTTAGGTTCATGTGTTAATTGTTTAAGCTTACGGTTAAATTATTTGATAATATGTATTATTGATGTTTTAATTAATTGAGGTAAATCCGTAAATAGATTTTGAATAATTGAATCCATGGAGAACTATTAGTTTGAACTGTAATTTACTCCATCAATTTTGAATTTTTGACAGATACATTATGGAGAGATTTTTCAAAAGGAAATTTTCATCTTTACAAGAAAATAAAAGTGATAGTGGACCTTCAAATGGAAGTATGCCTCTTTCTGTGTCTGAGTGTCAAGTAAAACAAAAAAGAATCGATTTGAATGATTTGCCTTTTGATCCCGCTGAAAGATTAAAGATTAGTGACTATCATCTTAATCAAAGAGATGAAATAAGGCGTACATATTGGTTGAAAGGACCTTGTCAACCTCTAGACCATAACTTCCCTTCAAAACAAATTGGGGAAAGTTCAAAGGAGATTCAATCCAGATTGGTTCAAAAAATATCCAAAATGGTTAGAGTATAGCATTAAGGAGGATAAAGCATATTGTTTGTGTTGTTATTTATGTAGAGATTATCATGAAAATAAATGTGGAAGTGATGCATTTGTAACACATGGTTTTTCATCATGGAACAAAAGTGAGAGATTGGCATCTCATGTTGGTAAGGTCAATAGTTATCACAATGAAGCACTTAGAAGATGTGAGAATTTGATGAAACAGAGTCAATCCATTGAAGTTGCACTTCACACACAATCAGAGAATGTGAAAAATGAATATCGAATCCGTTTGAATGCTTCAATTATGGCTTGTAGATTCTTGTTACGATTAAAACTACCATTTCGTGGTCATGATGAAAATGAAGAATTATTAGCATATATCGGTGAACAAAATGAGACTGTGGGTAAGGTTATACTCCAAAATGCTCCAAGGAACCATCAAATGATTTCTCCAACTATTCAAAAAGATATTGTTCACTGCTTTGCTAAAGAAATCATGAATGAAATCCTAAAGGACATTGATGGGGATTTTTTTAGTCTCTTAATTGATGAATCTAGTGACATATCAAATAAAGAGCAAATGGCTACGATGTTGCGATATGTAGATAAAAAAGGTCTTGTCCAAGAACGGTTTATTGGGATTGTTCATGTGAAAGAAACTTGTGCTGTAGCTCTTAAAGATGCACTTGATAATTTATTTGCTGAGTATGGATTAAGCTTGTCAAGAATAAGAGGCCAAGGTTATGATGGTGCTAGTAACATGCGGGGTGAGTTTAAAGGCCTCAAGTCTTTGATTTTGAATGAAAATCAATCAGCTTATTACATTCATTGTTTTGCTCATCAACTTCAATTAGCTTTGGTAGCTATAGCTAAAATGAATCTTGACATTCAAGATTTTTTTCTATGATTGCCACATTGTTAAATGTTGTTGGGGCTTCATGTAAACGCCGAGATATGATTCGAGACGATTATATGGAGAGAATTCAAGAAGGCATTGCTTCTGGAGAGTTTTGTTAGACGCCTTTCACACCTCTAGAGGGGGGGGGGGTGAATAGAGGTGTTCACGAAAATAATAAAATTTTTCGTTTAAAGAAGAAAAAGTGCAGGAATAAAAATAAAAGATTAACGGAAACAATGAAAGCGAGGAGACAACGATATATCCTGGTTCGGCCTAATGCCTACGTCCAGTCCCCAAGGCAAACGTGCCTGAGATTCCACTAATCCTTGTTAAACTTAATGGAGTTTATCAATCCGAATACAACTCGAGAACTTGATTTCACAAGCCTCTAACCTTTCCACCAAAGTCTTGATTTCACAAGACTTTGGATTTCAATCCAAAACTTGAATTATTTCAAATTCAAGTTTTTACAATTTAAAAACTTACAAACCAAAGTGCACAGCGGAATTGACTCTTCGAACAAGAGCGGATATGCTGTAGATTACAACCAAACCTATAGTGTATGGCACAAATGACTCTCCACACTTCAATTTGAAGGATTGGTCAAGAAAATGCTTAAATGAATTGAGTAGGAGGATTTGATTCAATAATACTCTTTGAAATTCTCAAAGGATAACAATTGTAAATATTCTCTGATGTTCTTGTACTTTGAAAACCGGAACTAGATAGAGTATATATGGATAGGGCCAAAGAAACCTCCACGGGAATTTAAAAACTGACCGTTAGTTGTGAAAACTGTCGATTTATTCGAATAAAACATAATTTATTCGAATAGTTTGAGTAAAACAGGATTTTCCAAGACACAGGGCTTATTCGAATAAATACTGGATTTATTTGAATAAAACAGAACGAACTGCAAAACTGGGAGCCTACTTATTCGAATAAATAGTCATTTATTCGAATAGTTTTCAAAATTTTGGAAAAACTGGAATCAGCCCTTATTCAAATAAAACAAACATTTGTTCGATTAAAACAAACTGAACTGCAATCTGCAGAAGTCCCTCTTATTCGAATAAATATCGATTTATTCGAATAAAACGCTGGGAAGAAACATTTTTGAAGAAAGGTTTTGAGAAAGGGTTTTGAAAACAATCAAAGAGGAATTCTTGTAGGAAAGACAAAGTATTTGAAGAATAAAGATGTGCCAAACACTTTAACATGAACTAAGACTCAAAAAGAAATAAAAATCTAGAAAACCTTTAATCTTCAAATCTTGTCTTGAATCTCTAAGCAACGTGCTAGGCAATCCACTTGAAAAGATCCAAATCCAAAGTATCATTCTTGACCCTCTTCACCGTCGCCCTCTTGATCCTCCAAAATGGTGTTTCAGAGTCCACTTCGGTACTAAGAAATTCAAACCCCTTTGTCTTCAAAAGAAAAGTAAGAAGCATGGGATACGGTAAGGCTTTCTTCTTTGCTCGGCATAAATTCATGTAGCTCAAGATGTATTTCCCCCAATTCACTGACACCGGCTTCAAGATGGCGTAGATAAGCATTGCATCATCCCTACTCATTTGAGGATGATTCCCCGAGCGACCACGCAGAATGTAAGAAGCAATGTACTGAATCAATCGTTGGGGAGGTTGCATACCACTCACTTTGGGTCGTCCAGACTCATTGAAAGAGGGTTTAAAATTCATCACTTCCCAACATTTTTCCTCATCAAAATTATACCAAGGGTTTTGATCATTATTTTGGGTAGTGAGCTCCTTGGTACTATTCTCCATGCCAAACATCTCTTTCAACTCACCACTAGAAATAGTAACCTCTTTACCAAAAAACTTAGAAATAACCACATATTGATGATTTCTACGCTTGAAAGTCATATCGGAGTAGAAAGCTTTAATATGATTAGCCGGGAAATGGGATTCATAAATTGTCACAACATTTATCAACCCCGAAGAACGAAGCTTAGATAAAACCGGTTCATAAGAAGTATCTCGCTCAAAATCAACAAGGTCAACATAACGGGGGGTGATAATTTTCCAGGGAAGTACATTATCACGAAAGAAATTCAAAGCTTCTTCACTATCAAACAAAATTCTAGGGTTGAGAGCAAATTCGAACCTTTGATTTTCGTTTGAAGTTGGAGGTTGAGAAGAGGAGCCTGGATGAGTAGCTTGAGTAGATGACCTTGAAGTCCTCTTCTTGGTGCGAGAAGCCATTGATTCCGGTTGGAGAAGTGGCGAAGGAAGTGATGAGACATCGGAGAAGATGAATAGATGCAGCCTAGGGTTCGTCGCTGAGAGAGAGAGAGAGAGAGGCGCGATTGGGTTTTTGTAAGAGATAGAAGCTTTGACCAAATAAATGACCTTTTATAAATATCAGATCCAATATAATATAGTCGAATAGTTCTTTACTTATTCGAATAACGAATGTTGAACCGCGACACTGGAATCCAACTTATTCGAATAGGTACCAAATTATTCGAATAGAACAGCTTGAGGCGCAACACTGGAATCTGGAAGGAGCATATTTATTCGAATAGGTCTTCAAATATTCGAATAAACCACTGTAATTAAACATTCCTTTGAAATCTTCAAATAGCCAAGGTCAATAAAAATTCCCCCTTAATAAATGCTTCCTATGGAGTAAGAAAGAGGAGTGGATGGGTGAGAACCTGCAAAAAAGAATTAAGGCCACTCCGATGCCTAAGTTAGAACTTGTTTATGTAAAAGAAATTAATAAATCAGGAAAAAAAGAGCAATTAAGCAATAGAAATAATTCATAATGCATTTCTAATACGACAGAAAGTCTCACGATCCAAAGGTTTAGTCTAAATGTCGGCCAACTGATTAGTTGTATCGACAAATTCAATGTCTACATCACCCTTTTGGACATGGTCTCTAATAAAGTGATGTCGTATATCAATATGCTTTGTACGAGAATGATGAACTGGATTCTTCGTAATATTTATAGCACTCATATTATCACATCTCAAAGGAATATGATCAAGTACAAGGCCATAATCCAAAAGTTGTTGTTTCATCCAAAGAATCTGGGCGCAACAACTTCCCGCAGCGACATATTCAGCCTCGGCGGTGGACAAAGCAACACTAACTTGTTTCTTACTAAACCAAGAAACAAGTGAACAACCAAAAAGATGACAGGTTCCACTAGTGCTTTTTCTATCCATTTTNCACCCGGCAAAGTCGGAATCAGAATACCCAATGAGAGTACATGTTGAACCTTTGGGATACCGCAGTCCCATAGTCAAGGTGCCTCTCACATACTTAAGAATACGTTTGACGGCAGTCAAATGTGATTCCTTAGGGTTGGCTTGATATCTAACACACATACAAACACTAAACATAATATCAGGTCTACTAGCGGTTAAATATAATAATGAACCGATCATACCTCGATATCGTTTGACATCAACTGACTTACCACTTTCATCTTTATCAAGTGAACATTGAGAGCTCATTGGGGTAGCCATTTCTTTACAATCTTCCATCTCAAATTTCTTGAGAAGTTCTTTTGAGTACTTCGTTTGGCTAAGAAATGTCCCGTGTTCAAGTTGTCGAATTTGAAGACCGAGGAAGAAATTTAATTCTCCCATCATTGACATTTCGAACTCTCCTTGCATAATCTTAGTAAATTCCTCACACATAATATCATTAGTAGCACCAAAAATAATGTCATCAACATAGATTTGTACTAAAAGCATGTCAAGAGCATTATGCTTAATAAAAAGTGTGGTGTCTACCTTTCCTCTTTGAAATCCATTCTCCAAGAGATGCAAACTCAAACGTTCATACCAAGCTCTTGGGGCTTGTTTAAGTCCGTATAGAGCCTTTTGCTTCTTCTTGAATTTCTTGTCCTTCTCTTGTTTCAACTTAGGACAATACGGCTTGATATGTCCCACTTCACCGCATTCATAGCATTTGGGTGGTGTGGACTTCTTGGAGTTGTCCTTTCTTGACTTGAAATTCTTCTTGACAAACTTGTTGAAGCGTTTGATAACAAGTGCAAGTTCGGGATTTTCTTCCGTATCACTTGAGTCTTCATCATGGCTCACTTCCTCAATCTCCTTGGTAGATTTTAGTGCAATAGATTTCCTTTGCTTGCTATCGACCGGAGGATAAAGAGTAGATGTCTCATAGGTGAGTAGCTTTCCCCTTAGTGTATCATATGTCAAGGTGTTGTAGTCTCTTCCTTCACTAATGGCTCTTACTTCAGATTTCCACTCGGGAGTCATGCATCGTAGGATTTTCCGAACCAAATCATGATCAGTGTAGTGCTTACCGAGAGTGTCAAGATTATTGATAATATTTGAGAATCTCTCAAAATAACTATCAATACTTTCATTGGCTTTCATTGAAAATAGCTCATATTCATGAAGCAACAAATCAACTTTAGCATCCTTCACTTGCGAGGTGCCTTCATAAGTTACCTCAAGCTTTGTCCACATTTCACTAGCGGTTTTGCATTGTGAAATCTTTCTATAATCATCAGGATTGACCGCACAATAGAGATAGTTGATGGCTTTGGAATTTTGCATCACATTCTTCTTGTCTCCATCATCGAATTCAGATTCCAATTTTGGTACTCGAATTCCATCAACAACTTTGTATGGAGTAGTGTCTCCGTATTTGATCACCATCCAAGAGTCGTAGTCGTTTGATTGAACAAATATCCTCATTCTTTCTTTCCAATAAGCATAGTTTGTTCCATAAAAAAGTGGAGGACGAGTAGTTGATTGTCCCTCGGATATTCCTGCTTGAAATGCTCTTCCGGCCATGATCGTGTTTCCTGCGGTAAAACTATGGAAAACAACAGGCTCTGATACCAATTGTTAGACGCCTTTCACACCTCTAGAGGGGGGGTGAATAGAGGTGTTCACGAAAATAATAAAATTTTTCGTTTAAAGAAGAAAAAGCACAGGAATATAAATAAAAGATTAACGGAAACTATGAAAGCGAGGAGACAACGATATATCCTGGTTCGGCCTAATGCCTACGTCCAGTCCCCAAGGCAAACGTGCCTGAGATTCCACTAATCCTTGTTAAACTTAACGGAGTTTAACAATCCGAATGCAACTCAAGAACTTGATTTCACAAGCCTCTAACCTTTCCACCGAAGTCTTGATTTCACAAGACTTTGGATTTCAATCCAAAACTTGAATTATTTCAAATTCAAGTTTTTACAATTTAAAAACTTACAAACCAAAGTGCACAGCGGAATTGACTCTTCGAACAAGAGCGGATATGCTGTAGATTACAACCAAACCTATAGTGTATGGCACAAATGACTCTCCACACTTCAATTTGAAGGATTGGTCAAGAAAATGCTTGAATGAATTGAGTAGGAGGATTTGATTCAATAATACTCTTTGAAATTCTCAAAGGATAACAATTGTAAATATTCTCTGATGTTCTTGTACTTTGAAAACCGGAACTAGATAGAGTATATATGGATAGGGTCGAAGAAACCTTCACGGGAATTTAAAAACTGACCGTTAGTTGTGAAAACTGTCGATTTATTCGAATAAAACATAATTTATTCAAATAGTTTGAGTAAAACAGGATTTTCCAAGACACAGGGCTTATTCGAATAAATACTGGATTTATTTGAATAAAACAGAACGAACTGCAAAACTGGGAGCCTACTTATTCGAATAAATAGTCATTTATTCGAATAGTTTTCAAAACTTTGGAAAAACTGGAATCAGCTCTTATTCAAATAAAACAAACATTTGTTCGATTAAAACAGACTGAACTGCAATCTGCAGAAGTCCCTCTTATTCGAATAAATCTCGATTTATTCGAATAAAACGCTGGGAAGAAACATTTTTGAAGAAAGGTTTTGAGAAAGGGTTTTGAAAACAATCAAAGAGGAATTCTTGTAGGAAAGACAAAGTATTTGAAGAATAAAGATGTGCCAAACACTTTAACATGAACTAAGACTCAAAAAGAAATAAAAATCTAGAAAACCTTTAATATTCAAATCTTGTCTTGAATCTCTAAGCAACGTGCTAGGCAATCCACTTGAAAAGATCCAAATCCAAAGCTCATCCCATATGCATGGTTGTCATTATCAAAACACAAGGGTCAACAAGATTGAAAATGGAAGTGGGTTGAATCAAGAGCTTTGTCTCAAAAGACCCGGGGATACGCGTTGGGGATCTCATTATAAGTCACTTTTAAATATCGTGAAGTTGTATACTTCGATTATTAAAGTGCTTGATTTTGTGAAGGATGAGGCTAGAGACACAACAAAGCAAGCTCAAGCTCGTGGTGTTTTGAGGTATTTTAAGAATTTTGACTTTGCTTTTTGCTTACATTTGATGTTGGATGTGCTTGGAATAACTCATGAATTGTCCGTGGCATTGCAAAGGAAAGATCAAGATATTTTAAATGCTTTATCTCTTGTTGAAGTTGCTAAGCAACGATTGCAAAAGTTAAGAAGTGAAGGATGGGAATCCCTCATAGCATTAATTTCTTCTTTTTGTGATGAGTATGGTCTTCCTTTTTTAAACATGGATGAGGAATATGTTGATCTTGATCATCCACGACGTAGGACAGGGAAAACTAATTTGGTACGGTATCGTATTGAATTATTTTATGTGATTATTGATCAACAAGTTGCATCACTTAATGACTGTTTTAATGAAGTAAACATGGAGTTGCTCCGTTGTGTGGCTTGTTTGAGTCGTCGTGATTCTTTCCATAACTTTGATGTGGCCAAATTGGTGAGATTATCTCAATTTTATCCTAATGATTTCTCTGAAGTTCATGCCAAAGAATTACAGAATCAATTGGAGACATACATTATGGACGTGACTTCAGATGACAGATTTTCAAATCTTAATGGTCTTGGTGATTTGTCTACGGTATTGGTAGAGACGAAAAAACACACCACCTTTCCTTTAGTATATAAACTTCTAAAGTTGTCATTGGTTTTGCCGGTTGCAACTGCAGGTGTTGAAAGATGCTTCTCAGCAATGAATCTTGTGAAGACATATTTACGAAATCGAATTGGGGATGAGTTCTTTAGTGATTGTTTACTATCTTATGTGGAAAAAGACATGCTTGAAAGAGTTGAAAATGAAACTGTAATAGATCGGTTTCAGAAGATGAAAACTCGAAGAGGGTAGTTGTAATTTTTTCATATTTTATGCTTTGTCATATTAGAATTGTAATGTTTAATTTTATGTATTTCAAAACTTGTGTTTGTAATTTTTTGGTCTTTTACTTTATGTTATGACTTTAAGTCTTTAATTATTGTGCCCCCAACTCTTCAATTTTCTGGATCCGCCACTGAAGGAGCCGCGTGACTTTTATAAGAGGGGAACATCGACCAGCGGGAAGACCAGTGGCCACCGGCCAGCCCGCCACTACTGCTGCTCGGAGCTCCTGGAAGTTTCTGGTCGCTGTCGACAGGCGGGCAGGCAGGCGGCCGCCTGCCAGCCTGCCGGTGCCACCTCTGCAAAACGCTGCTGCTGCTCGTTTGCTTGCCCGTCGCCGCCATCTGACCGGCGGCCAGGTAGGCGACCGCCTGCCAGGCCGCCTGCTGCGCGACTCTGGTCCATCGATGCTATCCTGCTAGAAATCATGTTCTGAACACTTTTTCCTTCTGCACCAACTTCTAATTCCGCACCATTTGTGACATGGAAATATTTTTTTATTAAAAATTAACTCTTTTTATTCCTTTCTTAGCCAAATTTTGCATATTAATTCAAAACTAGACCTGTGCAAATAAGGATCCGGGCCGGATCTGGGCCGGGCTTGATACAAATTATTAGCCCATTTGCATGGGCGGGCTTGGCCCGGCCCGGATTTGATGGGCTAAATTCTTTACCCATACCCGCCCACTTTAGCGGGCCGAACTGCCCACTGGGCCGCCCGACCCGGATAAAACATCAAGTAAATCATTTTTACACAAAAAAAATCAAAAAGAAAATATTGAACTCCTTTTCAAATGTTTAAAATAAAATTACCACTCGCCACATTTACATAGAAAACATAATAAAAATATTGTTACATAATTAATAAACCCATCATACATATCCATTAAAACACTATTGATTTTTGTTTAAGAGGGGTGAGTGATATGAACTATTATACATGAATTAAAGAAAATTTTAAAATTTATAATGTGTAGATAATTAATAATAAAGTAAATGTATTTAATGAATATGGGCGGGCCTATTGGCCCGGATGGGCTAAAAGTAACTTCCAGATCCGCCCAAATACAATTCGGGCTTGGGTCGGCCCGCCCATGTGGGTATTAAAGATTGTCCATATCCGCCTATTTTAAAGGGCGGGCTGGGCGGGCCGGACGGGCCGACCCTTGTTTGCACAGGTCTATTCAAAACCATTCTTTTTAGGATTAAATTATTAAAACATAATACTCCCTCCGTCTCGTAAAACATGGGACTTTTGCTTTTTAGAAGAGATTTAAGAGGAGTGTATTTTGGTATTGAATTTCCAAAAATGTCCTTTGATGTGATGGGTAAAAGTATGATTTGATGGATAGATTATTAGTAAAAAAGTATGATGTGATAGGTAGGGTATGAAAAAGTAAGGGGTAAAAGTGACTTTTTAATAGAAATGAGAAGTGTTTTTTGGGACGGATAAAAAAAGAAAGGAGAAAGGTTTTATGGGACGGAGGGAGTATTTTTTATAAGTAAGAATAAATGGTACAAGAACGTAATAAATATGAGTAAAAAGATAAGTACAAAACGGACTTATCATACGCATTTGCAGTGTAATGAAAAAATGATCAAAGTGCAATATGACAATGTGATCAGTCAACCGTAGGCGATCCACGATGGCAGTTTAGTGGCCGGCGGAAATAAATGGCAATGTGGAAGTTGTAGGACCTCAGGCGCTACCAACTCTTCTAAAACCAATTGGTGTTAGAAGAGGCGCATACCCTAACCTTATAGTGCATTCAACACACAAGCGCCCACGACATTCGATTGTGACTTGGCCCACATAGCCTCCGCCACGGGACAATTGCTGCACACATGGCCAACAATCTCCCCCTCAGCAATTGCTCCCGCTGGGAATCGAACTCGTGACCTTGGCTCTGATACCACTTGTAGGACCTCAGGCGCTACCAACTCTTCTAAAACCA